CGCCGGCTGGCTGTCCCACTCGGCCTGCAGGCTGGCCAGCCGCTCCGACGGCTCCATGGACACCCTCTTCAGGATTTTCCTGCAAGACCACAACAACGAGGAATGTCAGAAATCAGGTGTTTGAGACTGCACGCAGAAATCTACTTTGTGAGAGGCCATTCTTTTATTTTTTTATTTTTAATATATTTTTATTGATTTCAGAGAGGAAGGGAAAGAGAGATGGAAACATCAATGATGAGAATCATCGATTGGCTGCCTCCTGCACGCCCCCTACTGGGGATCGACCCTACAACCGGGGCATGTGCCCTTGACAGGAATCGAACCCGGGACCCTTCAGTCCGCAGGCCGACGCTCTATCCACTGAGCCACACCTGCCAGGGTGCCACACTTGTCGGAGTTTTCTGCACAAACCATGTCCACCTCATCACTTCACAGCCAGGCATCCGCCTCTCCCTCCCAAACCTGGCACCACGCAGGTCAAGGTCGCCTGTGCCCTCACGGTGCCAACCCACCAGACAGCTCTGCCCCGAGCGTGCCTGATGCTGACCCACTGTGGACAGCCTCTGCCCCAAGCGTGCCCGATGCTGACCCACTGTGGACAGCCTCTGCCCCAAGCGTGCCCGATGCTGACCCGCTGTGGACAGCCTCTGCCCCGAGCGTGCCGATGCCCGGTGTCACCGCGCCAAGCCCTCTGGCTCTGGGCTCCCCGGGAGTCTCACCCACCTTGCTCCTCACTCTCCTCCTCGACTCGACCGCTCCATCTCGGGCTCACTGTCAGGACACTTTCTGTCCAGGGCCCTCGTCCCAGCCAGGCCTCACCCGCGGTGACACCGTGACCCTCACATCTGCTGGGCCTGCAGCCCGGCCCTTCCCTCCCAGCCCCCCCCACCGCCCCCCGTCTCACAGCCCCTGATGTCCCCACCGAGACGTCCTGCAGGTCAAGCTCAGCGTTCCTGACGCAGGTGGTCGGGGTTTACCCTCAAAAGCACCCACCCAAGGAGGCGCTCTGGCCTCAGGGGCAAGGGAGACAGGCCAGGACCCTGTGGGGCAAAGCGGCTCAATCAGGTGAGCGTGTGGCCGACTCAGATGTGAGCACAGCGTGGTGTGTCCCAGGTGCCGGCACTCTGTGACCCCATCGGTGTTAACAGGTTACTGTACTGGCCCAACGGCACCAGAGTCCTCTGGGAGAGAGACTGGGTTCACTCAGGCATTATTCCTACACGGCGTCTCCTTCAGAACATCGAGTGAGCATCTCGTTTAAAAAGGTGGAACGAACCCCTAAGCAGTTGTCAAACTGGAAGACAGGGGCCCCAATGCCGTGTGATGTGTTGGGACACAACAGTGAAGCAACTAAGTTTGTGTGTGTGGCTGTACTGTGAGCACTTGTTCGTACAGAAGGAATATTAAACCTGTGTCTTTGGGGGGAAAAAACACAAAAACATCCACTCCCACCCTAGGACGCACCCCCCCCTCGTGGAAAAGCGGCACGCTCCCCAAGTACAGACCTGTCCCCCCAAATCCTGAGCTTACATGCTTAACAGGCAGACATAAACACGAACTGATATCTTAAGGTGTATTTCAGAAAACCGAGAGAAAAAGGAAAGAGGCTAATTATTATGTTTACGTTCGTTTGGGGGTTTTTCTTAGGTTTCCTCTTACTGATCAGAAAATAAAACACGAAGGAATGGCGTTCTGTCCTCACTAACCCGCAGGTGACGCCCGCACACCGAGCCTTGGTCCCGGGCACCCACGGAGCGCTGGGCGCAGAGGTTCCACGGGAGGATCCCAGAGCGAAAACCTCACCCCAGCGCCTCGGCGAAACGGGCAGAGCGCACAGAAAACCTCAGCCGTGGAACAGGGGCCGAGTGGGAGGAGGCCAGCCCTCCCCCGCCCCCTCCTCCCCCCCGGGACTCACAGGGGAGACAGGCCGGGAAAGATCCTCCGCAGGCAGGAGCCCAGGTGCACGAGCACCTCGCTCACGTCCTCGGGCGCCGCCATCCTCAGGGACAAGCTGTGCTTCCCGGTTTCCACGGCCATCTGCAGGGGGAAGGGCGGGGACCGCGTCATCACAACCCCGTCCCTCGCCTGTGTGACTGTAAGTGGCAGAAAAGAATGCCCTGCCCGGCCCACGGGGCTCAGTGGTTCATCATCAACCTATGAACCAGGAGGTCACGGTTCGATTCCCAGTCAGGGCACAGGCCCGGGTTGTGGGCTCGATCCCCAGTGAGGAGGACGGGTGGGAGGGCCCACGCCAGGCAGCAGCAGGTGCGGCGCTGGGACCCAGGCTCCTGACCCCTCAGGGCTGCTGGCCCCAGTGGCCTCCGAAAGCTGCCTCTAAACCCCAGTTCTGGAAACGAGTCCCGTCTGGAATAGGCTCGGTTACCCAGACGTAAGAGAAAACCCTGCCGTCACTCCCACCTGCTCTAGAAACCCGTTGTTGTGCATACGTGATAGGAATTCATGTTTCTTTAATATATATATGCGCGCACACACACACACACACACACACACACACACACACACATATATATACACTTTGATTGATTTCAGAAAGGAAGAGAGAGATAGAAACATCAATGATGAGAGAATCATGGATGGGCTGCCTCCTGCACGACCCACACTGGGGATCAAGCCCGCAACCCAGGCCTGTGCCCTGACCAGGAATCCAACCGTGACCTCCTGGTTCACAGGTCGGCGCCCAACCACTGCACGCGCCGGTGTGGTAACTAGTTGTTCCCGCACAATTACTGAGAAGGTTTTCCTCATGGGAACAGCCCCGACCCTGCCCACGAGGCCCCTTCAGCTTCTCTTCGGAACCTCCCGGTCCCTCATCTTGCTTTTCCACATTCTCTCGAGAAACGTTCAAACAGAGGATGTTTCGCGGTGTCGGACCCTCAGGGGAGGGGATGACCCGCGGTCCCACCCATGGTCTCCGTGGCCCACTCACCTGCGCGGGCTTGCTGCAGGTGACGCCCTGAATGTCCAAGTAGCTGAAGGTCAACTCGAGCTGCAAAGAGGGGGTGGGGGGGACACAGACCTGTGATCAGGGCTCAGAGCACAGTTCAAGGTGAAAACGCTGCAGTCAGCGATGCACCAGCAGCCGGAGGTGGGCTGGCGTGTCTCCGTCCATCACTGAGATGGGCCCTCGATGGACCGTACTTCAGAAAGGGCACTACGTGCTCCCCATCCCGCGGGGAGGTGCACGTGCGACTTCGTAAGTTTCATCCTGGGACAAACCCACTGGGAAGTGCTGGCATTTCTACTCTGGTTTTTCATTCATTTAGAAATGAAGTGTGAAGTGAGGCATCTAAACCCATTTTTTCTTTGAAACACATAAATAAAAGCCCTCTCCCCCTGCAGGTAGGGAAATAATTTGTTTCTTTCTTGTTTTAGCAATAAGGGTCCCTTCCACTCTTCTCCTGGGATCAGCACTTATTTTCTTCAAAATAGGCCCAGCCCTGGCCGGTGGCTCAGGTTGGAGCATCGTCCCGTAGCCCAAAAGGTTGTGGGTTTGATCCACGGTCAGGGCGGGTAGAGGAGGCAGCCAATCGATGTCTCTCTCTCACATGGATGTCTGTCTCTCACTCCCTTCCTCTCTCTCTAAAATCCATGGAATCAGCCTCAGTGAGGATTTAAAGAAACAGTAGGTCCAGTCTCCCCTCCCTGCCTTTTTCCTGGACAGTGGCCACCGACCTCCCTGGCTCCAGCCTCTCACGCTCCTGCAGACAATGGACCAAGTCAGGGCCTTTGGTCTGTCCTCTCCTTCCACCTAGAAATGTAATGGGACCAAACCAGACCCAAACCCGGGACCCTCTGCTCCCTCGAGTGGGTGGTACTATCATATGTGTGGTGCATGTGTGTATGTGTGCACATGGATACGCAGGGGCGGGCTGTACTGCCCCATGTATGGTACACATGGGACGTGTGTTTCTTGGTGTGTGCACGTGTTGTGAGTGGTGCATGTGTGTGGTGTTTGCGGTGCATTTGTTAGTGTGCATGTGCTGTGTATGCTTGTACATGTGTGCATGGTGTGTGCACGTGTTTGAGTGTGTGCACAGTGTGTGTGGTGCATTTGCTGGTGTGCGCGCGTGTAGTGCATGTGTGCACGTGCGCGTGGTGTGTGTGTGCATGTGCCCTGTGTGCATGCTGTGTGCGCGCACATGTGTGTGGTGTTTGCGGTGCATTTGTTAGAGTGTGTGCATGTGCTGTGTATGCTTGTACATGTGTGCATGGTGTGTGCGCGCGTGTTTGAGTGTGTGCACATGTGTTGTGCATGATACATGTGTGGTGCATGTTTGTGTGTGCAGTGTGTGTGGTGCATTTGCTGGTGTGCGCGCGTGTAGTGCATGTGCGCGTGGTGTGTGTGTGTGCATGTGCCCTGTGTGCATGGTGCGTGTGTGCACATGTGTGTGCATGGTGCGTGTGTGCGTGCGTTGGCAGGAGGAACCTCGGCGCCGGCACTCACCTTGGAGGGGATCCGCGCTGCGAGCAGGAAGGCCCGGCAGGTCGTCAGCACCTGCGGCGGAGAGAGCGTCAG